TAATTGTCTTTTTTACTTGACTTATTTACAGATTGACACATGACATTGTGGTATTTTAAGGGCACGCATGTGCACAGTATTTGTTTTCCTAGGTTTTGAATGGATTTCAAATTAATTTAATAGCAGCAAACTTGGAAATACCAACCAACTCAATAAATATCAAACTATTAAGCAGTAATTTGCGCCATCTTCCAATGCGCATGGCACAGATTTGTGTTGCAGTGCAAGACTATGCATTGGCATCGGGCTTTCGTAAAGGAGGGTGTGTGGAATCATTCTGGAGTTGTTGGACCCGAGTGCCACAGAGACGACCCCACCTTTAGGCGTAAAGAGCACTCATAGATGGTATAAGCACTCGGGGTGGGGGCGTGTGGGGGGGGAATGAACGCTCCACAGGAGCAACAATAACAATAACAACAGGAGGGCTCAGCTGCACGACTCCGAACAGAAGGGAATACGATACCGACTGTGCATCTGTCCTTTTGTCCTTCATTTAAAACCACGCGGCTCCGTGCAGCCGTGTTTATTCATGTTTGTTAATGTGGACGCTTTAAATGAACTTAAGATTCAACCGTGAAATAAAACTATTAAGTGTTAAGTGTTAATGCATCGTGAAAGCTTTTGCTGAGGACCGGGGAAGCCGTCATAGGTTCAGAGCCCAGGTGAAACAAGAGAGGGAAACGTGCTCACGCAGCCGCAGGCCGGCCAGCAACACGGCTCAGCTAAGAGCTGCACCATTAATGCAATTTCTAAACTCTCCTCATAATGTGCAGCGGCCCAGAACCCGAATGCTCTGAGGAGAACTATCATTAGTCGGCTTAGTATCGGAGTTGAGGCATTATGCCAAAAAGGTCCTTGTTAAAAAAAAAAACTGAAATTATAACAAATTGTTTCAGTTTTACAAACTAGTTTCAGTTCTGGCACAAATGAGGTAACAGACTTTCTAAAATGTATCAGAAATCTTGAACCTGGATTCCTCCTCTGCTGGTCCGAATCCACCCGTTTGATGTCCAGTCTCCCTCAAAAGCCTTAAATGCAGAGCAGCTTCTGCAGGGGTCACGCAGGGGTCATACAAGGGTCACGCACTGGTCACGCAGAGGTCACAGCTAAATCCATAGCCTTTTCTTAGGTCTGCAGATGATCCCATTCTGCTCACACGCGAGCGCCCGCCCACAGAAGGTGCCGTCGCTCCTCACGTGGTCAGAGGTCAGAGGTCACGGCTCCACAGCGACCTCCCCTCTCATGGTGAGAGTTAGCTGTGTATCTTATCCGACTGTGATACTACTACTTCCTCACATATAGACATATAGATATACACATGTACAGATATTTCATATCATTTCATCATCTTGCTGATCCCAAGATGTGAGTTAGTCTCACAGCAGCGAGCCTGCGCCTTGTGGCTACGGAACACGTCAAGATATCAGCTGCAGCTGCTCGATATTGATCTGCAGCCTCGTTGCATAAATGAATCCACATCTCAATTGTTTCAAAGCTTGGAGGTGTATCCTCGCGTGCAGCTGGCGGGAGGATGCGTTTTACAGCACATAAGCAGTTGAGACCATCGAACACGCGGGCTGCGTGGGTCACAACAATTACACACGGGTGAATTTGAGAGATGTGGAAAGCGGCTCTCTAATAGCGGTTGGCTAAGCTCGGGTAAAGCATTTCTCTTCCCCGTGTGGATTCTCCTCCCTTCCTGCCTCGCTTAAATCAATGATGGCATGACACACAGCGACCTCAAAGTTATATTTAACAGCAAACGTGCCTTTGAACTGCTTGATCCTATCCATCAAGGCGGTGGTGGGGGGGATTTGTATTTTTACAGAAGGTAAAATGGTTTGTTCCACCGTGGAGGTTCAGGCTGTCGGGCTACAAACGCTCATGTGAGCGGCGAGCGATCAAACAAATTGAAATGGTTGCGTTTGCTTAGCTCATTATTCTGGATATCGCTCTGGGCAACCTTGAGAATTGTTGAAAATTCACAGGAACAGACCGGGACTTCTAAATGTGTAACGGCTGTTTTGCTCTCAGTGTTTTTTCTTTTTGCAGACAGTTTAAAACGTAAAGGTCACAGATGATGGATGATCGTCGCGGGGGTTAGGTTTAGTTACAGGACTCATCGGGGTTAAGTAAAGCTTAAGATGTCGCGTCACTGGCACGTTAAACCATCTAGCGCCATTACTGCCGTGTGATGAGTTTAAGGTGTAACATGCCCCCCCCATCGCCCCCCACCACCCCCACGCCTCCTCTGCCCAGAGCATGCTTCCTCACTCTGGCAGAGCCTTGCAGAGTTGAGAAGGATTTCTCACTTAATTCTGTCAGTCCAAACTTTGTATTTTCAGAAGTTGCGTTTTTTTATACCTCGACATTAATCGACATGTTGCACTTCAACAAACACGATAAATCTTGGATTCCGTCGTCCTGGAGAAGCCATCTTCAAAGACGGCTTTGAAGCCAGAGAATCGCATCTGGTCACTCAGATAGTGAATGAAGAATCGCTGTTAATTTGTCTTCATGGCACTGAAAAATCCAAACAGTAACATGTCCCCTAATGTCCCCTCGCGCTCCTGTTTCTACGTTTTCTCTCATTTTACATTCCGTTTAGTCCCTACTGGGCCGTTTCTATTTGCAGTTCAACCTTAATTTGTTAAAAGGGTTTCGTCAGCCAGTATTTTGCAGCATGTTCTGCCTGTTTCTCTGCAAGGTCAAAATGTTTTAGGACCGTTTTACATTATTTTGTGTTAAATTTTGTGTTTTGTTGACGCCTTTTGGGGCGCAGTTGAACTAATATAAATGGTTCTTGTGTTGTTTTATATCCAAAACATGTGACCTCAGTCCACATCTCACGTTGTCTTCACCTGATGAAAGCAATGATGACCACTTAACACCGTGTTTCATGATGAAGCCTTCAGCTCCATGAAGATAAAGAGAAGATGTAAATGTTCATCATTTAAAGTCGATGATACGCCAGAGCGTTTTAGGGTGGTTGTGCAGCCCCCAAGTGGCCAACGGTGTTAATTCCGACAAAAAGTGACAAATTTACACCAAAATCTGTATGAATAATTTCTTTTATTCAGTATTAAACCACTTAAAACGGTTTAACCATTCAGACCATCATCCATCTTAATTCATACCTCCAATATCCAATAAAACCACACACGCAGATATTTCATTATTACAAACGTTAGACTATTCTCTGTGCACTAACATGTAAAGACTACACAATTTGTCTCACTAACACAATTCTAAAATCTAAATATTAAATTATACTTTTATTAGGCCACAACGTTTCTTGAGGTATAAAATCAAAAGGGAACAGTAGTGAGTACGGAAGATAAAATAATAGAGATGTACAGTTCTAACCAATTAATTTATCTATCTAAAACAACGTTACTTAAAAGTTAAATATTTGATCAATTTGGAGTGTGTGAGTGTGTTTCGTATTTACATCGTTTTGTGTGCTTAGACCACCAACCAGATTTCAAAGGCTACATTTAAAAGTCAAATGCCCGATTACATTGTCGACCGATGTACATTAAATACGGGATTGATAAGAGTATTGGGAAAAACCTCTTTATGATTTGCTGGTGAAGATATGACAAAGCCACACAAAAAGTGGATGTTACAGTGCTTTCCGGGGAGGCAATATACAATAACTAACAACCAGTTATGGAATGATGAAAAGACGTCCTCACTCTACTGAATTTGCTTGTTACGACAGATGTGAACAAATGACACCAAATCACACATTTCATAAAACATCAGTAAGTCAGTCTCTCTTCAGTAACAAGGATTCCACACTGCGATAAAAAAAAAAAGGGAAAACGACAATGAAAAATAAAGTGCTGCTAAAAAAGATAACTTTCCTCAAACTTCGCATCTAAAGAAGAGCGAGGTTGGTGAAGTGACACAGCAGTCATCGACGGCAACTTGTAAAGCTCGACTACATATACTTTCCCCGCCGGCTACCGGACACGGTGCAACACACCACCCGAAGAGAGAGCCGGCAATACTGCACAACCGGAGCCTCCTCTGGCGCGACGGCGGTTCGACCCGACTCGGGGTGACGGGCACCTTCGGGATAATGAAAACCTCCCAAAAGGGACAGACACTCACTTTGGTCTCTTTTCGCGCTGCAGCTCCCGCCGAGCCGACCTTTGACCCGCTCCTCGGTGATCAGGCAGGCGATGAAGGCAGAGGACGCTCTTTTGTTTCAGGTGGTTATTTGATATCACAAATGTTCTGGTCCTGTGAGAACACCGGTTCTGTTATTTTCGGGGTTCAGCGGCTGCTGAGCGCCCACTTGAATTGTCATTAATTGTACTGTTAAAGAGGGAGTAAAAATACATGGATGGTGGATAATTTTCGTTGTGCACGTGAATTAATCTCGTGTCAATAAAACGTGTGACAATAAAAAGAGTAAAATGCTCTCCAGCAGGAGCAGATAAGTAACGACATTGTACGTTGTGAGCACTAAGAATCCTCACAGCGGTGCACTGATATCACAGTTTGTGCACTCAGTAACTTAAAAAGGTCAAAATAAGGTCTCCCAGCTCGGCGGCGCAGTGGGGCCTTTTTTAAGGGCAGTGCCCCATCTGGTGGCTGAGAGACGTCTGTGCAGCATCTACAGTCTACAGTGATACAGCATTACAGTAAGATAGATAAAAACACGCATTTTCGCACAGTGAACTCACCTCTACAGCAGCGGGTCTCTTAAACCAGATAGTAACAAACTAACGTCATGCTGATGTCGGCCATAAATGTATTCAGCGAAAAAGAAAAAAAGATGGTTCGATGCAGACGCGCTCCTTTTCCTTCTTTAAAATATTAAAAACCTTCCCCGTCCATCCTCGGCGCCCCTCTCCACACCGTGCGACGCGGTGCCCATTCAGTGTCTGTTGTGTGTGCCGGTGTGGGGAGGGAGGGGGGCAGCAGAGGACGTCATCTAGGAGAATCACACGGGGCGGCTAGTTTTGGTAAAAAAAATGTTTTTTTTAAAATGCCCGAAATGTGGTGACAGCGTGAAAATTATTCTACCAATGGATGTGTCTACTTCTAGTTAGTAGATTCTTCTCGGGGGGGCGGGGGGCTCCTCAGCCCGAGAAGGACAGTTTGTTAGGCGTTAGAATTTGAGTCGCTCAGAGCTGAGAGTCGGCGCCCAGGCTGTTGAGCTCCTCCGGCGAGTGCTTCGCCGCCCCGCCGCCGCCGCCGCCGGCCGTCTGGCGGAAGGCGGCGGCGATCTCGTCAAACGTCCGACCCTTGGTCTCCGGGACTTTGAAGAAGGTGAAGACAAAGAAGCCGAGCAGCAGGACGGTGAAGATGATGAAGACGTAGGCGCCACATTCTTTCTGTGGACGAGAGCAGGAGGAGAGACTCGCGTTCAGCGCGGCAACGTGGAAATGATTCATTCCATCTTTTAAGACCAAAACCAGCCAGATCTCAAAAAGTGTATTACGTTGAAAGGAACTTTTACGTGTGGACAGACGTTTATGTCATTGTAAATGATGTATACTAGGTAACACATGTATTTAATTTAAATTAATTTTGTCTCATTTGACTGTAGTGAATAGTACATTATGCAGCGTTTCACAGGAAACTAAACTAAAAAGACCTGAAAAAGGAGCACTCACCTCTATATACTGGAAGCTCATTCCCACGATGAAGTTAGCTGTCCAGTTGGAGAAGCCGGCCACAGCGAAGGCCGCGGGCCTGGGGCCCTGCGAGAAGAGCTCTGCCACGATGAACCAGGGGATGGGACCCGGCCCGATCTCAAAGAACGCCACGAAGCCAAAGATGGCCACGATGCTCAAATATGACATCCATTTGACCTTCTCCTGCAGGACAAGAGGACAAGAGGGACGGCGGGGGGGGGTGAGATGCCGGCGTTCGGTGGGAATCGCAGCGCCCACATTACCTGTATGAGACACCTACCAACAGAGCCACGGCGATGGTCATTAAGACGGCGGAGCCGGCCATTCCCAGCAGCCCCAGCATGTGCAGAGACCTGCGTCCTGCACGCTCCACCACAAACAGCTGCAGGGGAAGAGTAAGGATGAGGTTAATGCAGTGCTGCAGAGAGTAGAATACTATGTTGTATATTCATTCTAACGTTTATTAATAGTCTTTTCAGCAGACTCTTTTGTATTATCGCGACTGTCTCTTTAATCGTGTCTACGGTAATGAAATCTGAAAAGCGAAACTGTACTCACCGACACCACGGTGAAAGCTGTGTTGACTACACCGGCTCCGATGGTGGCGTAGACGGGCTGCTGCACTCCGGCATTCTCGAAGATACGGGTGGAGTAGTAGAATACCTGGCAGGACAAACACAAGAGATTCAACACGAGAGAGTCTCCTCTGGTTCGAACCAGTGCACATGCTGTGGATATCGTGCTTTGTTTTCTGATGCAGGTCTTGGAGGTGGACGGACACTCACAGCGTTGATGCCGGACAGCTGCTGGGAGAGCTGCAGGACGACGGCGATCAGGAGGGGCTGGCGGTAGAGCGGCGAGCGGAAAAGCTCAAAGATGGTCACCTTCTTCTCCCTCATCATCTGCCGGCTCTCCTCCTTCATCTCCTGCATGTCGGAGCTCACGTCGCTGGTGCCTCTGAGCTTCTTCAGCACTGGGATGTGTGAAGGGAAAGCGGCGCGTTAACTCTACAGGAATCCGGCATGAAGCTTGACATCAAAACGTTGTGTTCAATTGTAGGATAGAAATACTTTTCCACTACCCAATTTTTTCACAGATGTTGCAGGGTTCCAGCAGTTGAGTGCATGTGTGTGTGTGTGTGTGTGTGAGGACTCACCAGCCTTGGCCTTGTTCTCTTCGTTCTTGTTGATCAGCAGGAAGCGGGGGCTCTTGGGGCAGAGGGGCAGCAGGATGCACTGCGCCACCGCCGGGATGAAGGTGAAGCCCAAGAGGAGCGGCCACAGGTCGTCGTTGCCCATGATGGCCTCCAAGCCGAACACCTGAGCGCGACACAGACACGCGTGAGCAACGGTACGCCAGGTGGGCTACGGTTGGTGACAACCAGGGGACTTTGCTCCACCTGTGCGACGAGGATGCCGACGACAATGCCCAGCTGGTGGAAGGTGCCCAGGGCTCCGCGCAGGGCGGTCGGGGAAACCTCGCCCACGTACATGGGCACGAAGCCCGTGGAGAGGCCCGAGTAGAGGCCCACCACGAAACGACCCGTGATCAGCATCTCCCAGGAGCCCGCCATCTTGGAAAAGCCCATCAGAGTGGCCGCGATGAAGGCCAGGATGTTGGCCATGAGCATAGAGTTCCTCCTGCAGGCCGACGAGATGGAGACACATTTAATCCAATAGAAAGTTCTTAACTTAACAAGATTTGTGTGTTTTTTCTTTTCTTGTTGTGTTCTATGCAGGCACAAGGAACAAGGGGGGGGGGTTCTAATCATTGCAGTAATGACATTGAAGATTACAGAGTCAGTAAGTCGTGTGCAGTCACGCGGGTTTAAAAACACCAGGGTACCAGCAAGGGTTTTATTTTCACTTCACCTTCCGAAGCGGTTGACGAAGAGTCCGACGGAGAAGGATCCAAAGATGCCTCCAACAGAAAAGATGGCGACCGAGACGGACCAGATGGCCGTGAGCGAGCTTTCGCTGATTTGCTCCTGGTATCGCTGGAACCACGTCTCATTGATATACTTCTCAATCACCTGCCGCGAGAAGAAAGTTCTCTCTTAGTGGACAAAACAGGATCCGGTTTCATTCAGACGGAGCTGCTGCTGCTGTGTGGCCAGCTGATGGCAGTGTGATCATCCCAATTTCCTACCTTCCAACCAGGAAGTTTAAGAACGCGGCCCCACCTCCACCACCCCGCCCTCCGGTGACTATGTTGACAAACACGGCCAGGCGAGGCTTGTGCGGGTCACGGTGACACGTATGATTCAGAAAGGTCCGCAGACCGACAAACCCCACCCCCCCCTCCCCACCTCAGCGTCACTCCGCGTCCTCGAGGGCTTCCCTGTGGAGGAGGGATATTCTTAGGATGACACCCGGATGCTGTTGAGCGGGTCACCTCGACGATCAACTTTCCCCCGCAAGACCTGGCTTAGCGATGTCACACGCGCCCTGTGAAAACAGCCGTGTGTACAGGAGGTCTCGCTAGTTTCCGAGTTTATAATTTGGTAGTATATTACTCCAGAGCTGCGCTTGACCTCTACGAATATGGCCGTTGCTTTATGCCGCAGCATAACAATTTATATTGTTAGTATTACAATTACTATGATGTAATAATGAATACGAATGCTTTTTTAAAATAGCCACCATACGGGTCCAGTAGCAGCCGGAATCCAGACCTCTTATTTGTCGCCTGCATCTCAAAGAGAATAAATGAGGTGAAAACTAAACGTGGTGGCCTCAACAGGACTGCAGTCACAAAGTGACACTCTCACCAAACGCGAGTGGCTGAACGGTGAAAAGTGCTCATTTTGATTTCCCTCTGCGAGTCCTTCTGTAAACAGGCGGCGCGGTGGCGGCCGGCTCTGACCACACAATGAGACAGGCTGTCTATTGACGGCGGCCTAAGCCTGACCCTCGGAGGGATGTTGTTGAGCCGCCCGTCGAGGTGAGTTCTGTGTTCAGCGCGCACACGGGGAACATAGAGACTCATGCAAGTTCTACATTTTGGGTTTTTAGAAAACGTCCTTCATTTGCTAGTTGGTCCTAAAAATAGTCATTCCCACAGGAAGTCATGTTTGAGTAGCAGTATTTTCGACATGTACCTCTCCAGGGAGGGGGGGGGGGGCCACACAACAGTTGGCCCCAACAGCAATAAACACACATTCAGGAATAAACTTCTTTGCAGGAAAAGAACGATGTTTCCCAAAAGGAAACCACAGTACACAACACACGACTCTTAAATGTGCTTAAATGTCCAAACAAGGGAGTGATTTGCTCTGCGTGGGGGGGGGGGAGCTGCAGCTCGGCCCTCGGCGGCGTGTATCTAATCAGGGCCCGACCTGCGTCACGGCCTTTATCGCACGCGGCACCGCCACCCCGAAGGGCTGCTGTTTGTGAAATAATAGCCTATGAGTGGCAGCGAGCTGATGGAGGATCGGGAAGCGCGTTGGGTGACCGGTTGTCAGCGCGTGTAGACGCTCAGGTCCGTGTGTGCGTGTGCGCGGGGCTGCGTGTTACGAGCCGTGGGGGCGGCTTCACAGTGGCCCAGTGTGTGGCAGACCACTTATTCACCAGCCGCCTCTCGGTCTGCGCCCCCCTCTCTCAGCCACTCGCAAAGCACTCCTGAGCTGCAGCAAAATACTGGATTAAACATAATGGAATATCGGTAAATCTTGATTGCTCAACAGGTCGGGAGCTGCAACGATTAGCCAACGTTTCTCGTTATTTAGGTCATTTATTAAGCAAGGCCGATCGAACCTTTGGCCCACCGAGCTTCTTAAATGTGAGGATTTGCGCTTTTATGTAACTGCAAACTACAGAACACATCTTACAGTTCTGGACAGTTTGTTGGACCTTTTGAAGAAGTCAACTTGCACTATATTTAAGCGTTTAGTCTAGAAATTTTTTTATGTTTTCACAAGCCAAGGACGATTTCACAATTTCTTTTCACAAATGTGTCAATTCTTAAAAGTCCCCTTTCCTCTCATTTGCTGCCCGCTTCTGCTGCTCCCTACGCTGCGACGGTCCCTCTCCAACACTCAGCCTACGTGGAAGGTAATTTAAAGAAAAGGGCTTGAGCATAAGCTCCGGACTGCCTGGCGACACACCTGTGACCTGTGGACAGACAGCTGTGTCACCACAGGGTGTGTTAACACCAACGCACACTAACCAGACCCGGGCTGTTTACACGCCACACAATATCGACATTCTCCAGGAAATGAGTTTCTTCGGTGTACCTGTCGGCTAATGAAAAGCTTCTGTGGACTTAATGATTCAGCGGCTGTCCATATATTTCATTTCACCTGCGGCGAGCGTCCGTGTGGAGCTTTTCTCAGCCTCACAGATCCGTCTGGGGCAAAGACACACTTTTTGGAGGTATTCTTCAAACAACATATGCCTTTGCAAGGAGGACCAGAGGACACACAGACACCTTTAAGAACGAGATAGATATGTGTGTGTGTGTGTGTGTGTGTGTGTGTATATATACACAACTTGTTTTTGTTGTTTTAGGCACATGCTATATTGCAAATTTTGGCCACTTAAATAAAACAAAAGTTAAGCTAAGCTGAACTAAACTACAATAAACTGACTAAAGATTCAGACATTTAACTCACCTTTTGAGGGGCATTAATGACTCCGGTGTTGTAGCCGAACTGCAGGGAGCCAATCACAGCAGCTCCCACGCTCAGCATCAACGTGAACGTCACTTTCTGCAGGACAACAAGAAAGCAGAGGAAGAATTGTCAGTGACGAGACCAGTTTGACCACAATGCAAGAAAAACGGAGCTTTGCTGCAAATAGCACGAGCGGTGCATCATTTGACGGACGTTCTACCTGAACTAGAAACTCTCACTCGTGTTGACGGAATGAAGTCAATGCGAGTTTTTCTGGCATCTTGCCGTATTGCAGTATTTTAAACTCGCGGTTTGGATTGGACTTGAAATGTTTAGGCTGGTCGGGCACTAATTTTATCCTCACCGTGTATTCATATCATGCACAGTGAAAGCACACATCTTAATAACCAGAAATTTCTGGTATCAGAGCGTGGTGGCCATAAAGGATGCTTTGTGATTCTCAAAGCGATCTGAGGGACGTAAGCGTAGGTACGACGCCGGTTTCCTGTTTACTGGGTTGCTGGTCAGGTCTGAGGAGGCTCCATGTTCTCTGGATATAACTGTAGGAACCGGCTCCTTGGATGTTATTGTCTTTTCATTGTTGTTACAGAGACTACTTGATCTCTGTAGAGCCCAGTGGATCACTAGAGATGTTCCTCATACCAAAAAGTTAATAAACCAGAGTATTATTTTCTTCTCTCAGACATACAAAAAATACACCTCAAGCTACAATCTACCTTTTTGTTGTTCACTCAAATCTATCTACACTTCTACATCTTCTAACCTGAAAACGGTTTAAATCGAAGAGGGCGCCAGCTCAGGTTCACTTATCTGGACGAGATAATCGGTTAATTCGTCATATTTCTCATTATTACCGAACGCATCGTAAAACCAATAATAACATAACATGCATGTATGCTGTTTGTATCAGGAAAACAAAGACAAAATGGTAAAATATCAGCGGGAGCATCGTGTGTATCGTCTATTTGTTATGGTCAGTAAGTATGTGATGAGAGGTTCCCTCCGTATCTGCACGTACCCAAATGTTAGTATATGTACTTGGTCTGAAAGATAGTAGTGTTTGTGCATCCGTCCCAATCTCCGATCCCACCAGCTATCGATCTGGCTGCGGATGAGCCTCAGGGGGGAGGAGCTACATTTCTCTGGTCCCACTGTCTCTACCTGCTCTCTTTTTAGCTCTACTTTTGGTCTCCACCAACTACTAATGGAAACCTCTGTCCCTTTTGAAGCTCAAAATGCTCCTTAATGTTCACTTGCTGGTCACTAACTCTCTCTCTCTCTCTCTGGGCAGAAAAGGTACAATAGATTTAGTTCCTTCCTTTAAAGACTACGAGTCAAAGCTTGAGGCTAAATTGCTAGTTGAATTTTCATTTAAGGTCCTGGAGACAAAAGACTCCCGCCACGTTTAATGAAAAAGAATATCGCCAAAGTGCACGAGGGCTTTTGTGGGAACCGGAGGGCCTCCCCTGCGTAATAAAGAGGGGGGAGACTTTTGAGGCAGTCACGCCAGCCCTGGCTGAAGACGCTCAAAGACCCGCCTACATCTCTGCACCAATAGAGACTCTTGTTATGAGGTCGCCGAGTCTCCACTGCGACAGTTCAGTATACACACACGCACCAACCCGCTTTTCAACATTTTTGGATTGACTTCTTAAAGGAGCCAGAACACCAGGAGGCCGACGCTCGGGTGTCTTTCTGCAAAGAGAACAAGATGCTGCACACAGTTGCGGAGAACAGCTACCGGCTTCTTTTTTAACTGTAAAACAGAGAGATCCCCTCATTCTCCAACTGGTTCAAACTCGCCCCTCAAGAGAATAGCTGCAGCTATTTGCCAAAGCTACCGTGAATATTTGATGTGGAGGTTCTGGATGTCACAGCTCAGACGGCTGTGTGACATCCTTTACCTTCAGCCTAGATACAGCAGCCCTCCCTGAGCACGACTTCAGTCCAAACACACTGATTATGGCGCTAATCACAGTGTTTGTCATTGCCCCCCCCCCCCCCCCCAGTTACCCATCAGCTCAGCAGAGAAGGTGAGTTTGGACACTCTTCCTGGTAAACAAGAGCAGCCGTGTTATATGTGACTTCCTCCCCAGAGGAACAATGGCACACCCAACAGAGCTATTTCATGATGGCAGCTTGGAAGCCAACTCCAACGGCCGGTCCTTCTTTCTTCTTCCCTCGGCTCTCTGCTCTTAGTCTCCTCTGAGGATTCGACCCAGCTGCTTCTTATTTACTTCACATTTGTCAACAGAGTTGTGGGTGTTTTGTTTGCTTGCACGTGACGGCTAAGCTAACCAAGAGGACCTTAAACGGCCTTAAACTGAATACCACGCTAATCGGCAAAAAAACTCAAAGCTGATTACAGGAGTAGGAATTCACTTTGCTACAAGGAAAGTATTTTGAAAAATAACTATTACAAACATTTATCTACAAAAGCGATAATTCTAAATAGTTTGTAGTGTACAAGTTGAGCAAGTGGAAAACAAGGTAACTATCCGTATTTTTAGTTATGATCCAGAAGGTTTTAAGTTAGTTGTCACTAACGAGTAAAAAGTAACTAATGCGGAATTCAGGTCTCATCGACTTTTGTCCCCCCGCCCCAAAAAACAAGTCTGAATCTTCTACTACAGACGAACCCACCGAACCTGACCGACCAGCTGGAGACCAACTTGTCTTTTCCTAACACCAAGTTAATGCACAGTGATGCAGCTGTGTTTCCACAACAAAAAAACATCTGGAAACGTTTCAGTAACGTTTCACACTTCCGCCTGCTATGTTGGGAGTGTAATACGTGTAATTACTCCTCTCTCCTCCAATGCCTTTGCATTCATCGTCACCTCCCTCAAGCATCCGTGCTGGTGGGCCATGTTTCAGTTTGAGAAGTGAAACACTGCTTGTGTGTGTGTGTGTGTGTGTGTGTGTGCGTAACGAGGGCATATCTGTCCAATCATTGCTGCTTCATGCATTAACACTGTCAATAGCAGCTTTTCTCTGCTTGGCACCACTGACTCTCTCTGCTCTTATTATATAACAGCCGGATCTCTCTTCAAAAGTACACACTTGTTTATCGAATGCGAGTGTCAGTGAAATACATCTGCCAATGCTGGAACTCCTAGAGAGTGAAACGGGAAACGGTAACTTGAGCTCTGACAGGCTGTCACAGGGGTGACGTGCCCAAACGGAAGATCCGAAACGCACTTGGTAGTAAAACCGAGGCAGTTGACCTACAAAGCAAAAAAATCAACAAATCGCTATATATGAACAATAAGAGGTTAGGAAAATGAGCAGTTCTCTAAAATGTGAGTGAATATCTGGTGGTGGAACAATTGTTGAGATCTTCAACTTGATCAGAATGCAACAGTACTGTTAAAAATACTACATTATGACTGAAAAGTAAATGCTGCCTTCAAAATGAAAGAAATAGCTGTTAGAGGAATAAAACGTAAAAGAGTAAAAGTAACATGTCAGCTGTGCCTCTAAGTGGCCGCCAACTGAAGGAAGACGTTCTCTACGTGATGAATATTAACAGCATCGTTTGTGACTCATAACATCCGGACACCAAGAAGTGTGCTCTGAATTGCGTCATTACTTTTATTGTGAAAAACCGCGGATGGCCTACGTTACTGCTGCCACGTCCCTCAGAGCGCCAACCTCTGCTTACGTCTCAGGTTACGTCCGCGGGGACGCGATGTGTCCTCCCGCCTCTCGGCTGTGTTCAGCTTTAAAAGGAAACGTCTCCAAATATCTGTTTTTGTGAACATTAATGTTAAAGCCCAGATACTCGGGGTGAGATAAGCCTGATGCGTGCTTCAATTGCTATATATATTTAACAGTTATTCATGCTTTATAATCTTCATATTTGACCAGTTAGTTCTGTTCCTGTGGTGGTTTCCCGGTTACTGAAATGGTCTCTGCTGTCTTAATGGTTTGCCAAAATGATGCTACAAAGACGTTTTGAAACAGAATAAATGACATTATCTGCAGCCGGCCTCGTGCTGCAGAGGTTTAATGTCTCCCTCCAGTTCACACTTCTGGTCCAAAAGTATTTGGAGCTTTCTCTGAAGGGGAATACTGTAAATGGGATCGGCACATTTGCCTATGGAAACTTTCATAAACATGCAAACATACATGCAAAACGACACCGACTTGAAGGTGTACCGTGTAATTATTTAAGTCTCCAAGAAGGTCACTATTGTCCTTTATTCAAACACTGTAGAAGTGCGTGTTCAATCTGTGAAATGTCTCCTCGGGGCCTTAGATGGATCATCATAGAAGAAAGTGCTTATTCATCCGTATGTGCATTACATGCCATTAGTAAGCACAGCCGTGTTGAGGCCTGTCAGAGCCAGTGGAACTATTTCACCTCGGATCAGAGAACGTCGGACAGCTCTTTATGCTTAATATTTTATAACTTTTTCAATATTTAAAATTTGTAACTTTAACTTTATTCTGTTGTTTTATACTAACCCATAGCTTTATTCTACTAACCATTGCATTAGCATTTCATTTTACTTTATTTTATTACTTGTGCACTGCTGTCTTGTTGTCTATTGTCTTCTGTCACGCACCAACCGCCAAGAAAAATTCCTTGTATGTTTGACATATTTTGGCAATAAATGTTTCCTGATTCCTCTGCGAGAGTTTGGAGGTTGACCCCCACCTCCAAGGTTCAGAGAGTTCTGAGTTATTACAGAGATCTAATTTGCACTGGATCGTGAGAACAGAGAGAGCGTGTGCAACAATTCGTCTCAATTAGAAGAAAAAAAACGCCAGACCTCCTGATCCCAACTTTTTCGCCTCATTAGAACGCGGCCGACCGTTACACCGTGAGACACGCCGGAGGGGGCAGTCATGCAGGTGAACAGTAAATCAACTGCACCGTCCCAAGCAAGGCGGAGGTTGGCAGGCGGCTGAGAGGCAGCGGATGGAGAGGAATTAAACGCGTACAATTAAGTCTGTACAATGGAGGCGGCTTTTTGGGGCTCCGCGGTCCGAATTAAAATACCTGCGCTGCTTAGTCGCTGTTTTTTATTCAAAATAGAGCAGGTCAACCGTGTGCTTGACCCCAATTACTATTCTCCCTCTTTGTTAGGGTGAATAACAGCACGGAGGTGGGATTTCCAGACCCAAACAATGCCCACTGTTGGCGAGAAGTAAGCTCCTGTTTGGCCAACACTGGGATGTCATTAACATGCTCTGTTTTGATGGAAATTACTATATTGTTATTTAAATACAGCTGCACTGAACGAATGAGACGAAATGCTGGTCAGAAACAAAATAATCCAGAGGAAACATAATATTGAGTTAGCGTTAACGGACGGATGGATGCAAGTCACAGCCCATAAACCCGGATGTTTGACGTGCGACACCTGACTGAAACTTTTTACTTCTCTGCATACGTGGAACTGGGAAGGAAGTCAAACTGTGGTTCGACCAACGCTGTGTGTTTTATGCCCGTAATTCTGGGGAAGTTTCCGCACGCAAACAGCGAAACGGAGCACAGGGCAGGTACGAGAATCTCGACCACGAGGTGTTTATAACGCCGGCGCGCTTAACTACAGTTCACCTACCCGCCTGAAGGAGAGGGAGAAACACACTGCTGGAGGCAACTCAAAACAAAGGGATGGAGTGAAGCGAGCAGCCCGGGGGAGGGGAAGGGTCAGAGCCTTAAACCCCCCCCTCACCCCCAGGGAGTGCCATACGCTTCCCTCCGTGGAGTCGCACTCCCTCTGGAAATCTGCTGTGTCCGTGTCACAGTGGAAACTGGGAACACGCAGGGCTGTTCCCATCACGTCTACGACCAACACCCCCCCCCCGCCCCCCCCCCAGACCCCCTCGTCTACCCCACCCCCGAGAACACAGTGTCGTGGTGACAGCTGAGGAAACATTCTCTGACCTCCGTGTCAGATCGGGCCGCCTGCTGCTCCACCGGGTTCAGCTGGTTATGTATCATCCACCAAGTAGGAGGGCCTGCTGGGGGGTATCGGGGGAAGGGGGTGTCTTTTAGGGTTCTTGGTTCACTAAGTCTGCTCACGTTGGCGTGCGTCTGTGTAACAGGAACACACAAGGCGCCGCAGAACGCACCGACTACATTAACAAGCGGCGGGCATGTGGGGAGACCAGGTTTAAATTAGGCCCCTTGGATCAAATAACTAGTGAAACTCGTAACTACAAATGTTACGACACACTCGGCTCGGACGGCTTTGACTTTGGGGCCAGCAGGCGAAGAAATGGATTGAGGGCGAATAAATCCGGCCATCACAAGTTCTTTAACGTCTTGTTTTGTTCAGAAGCCGAGGCTTAAATAGTCAATTGATTGGAAAGAGATTTTTTTGGAAAGCTGCAAGTTTTGTAGATCAAAATATTACATAAAAGTATACGGAGAGTTATAAAATAGGAGGCATTGCTATTGATTAGTAGGATTAAGAGACTGATATTAGGTAGCTAAAATCACCTCCAATGAATTCCAACTCAAAAGCATTTTGATACTAAGCAATCGTTGATGGCGATAAAAGTAAACATGCCAAACATTAGAGGATTTAAGATTTCCTTTCTTTGTCCTGAATAATAAACTCTATACATTAGCGTTGTACCGTTACTGTGAAGTGACAGGGAGCATGCTGCTGCATGAAGAGTACTAGCTCTTCTCTCACTTCTGTACTTTATGACTGAGTATTGCTATTTATACTCCTTCCTCTAGAACCTAAACACACACTCCCGGGCATCAATAGCTTCTATCAGACTAGAGTCACGTAGCCATTTTTATTATTTAGTTTACTGCATTAACACTCCAGTGCAGTGACGTAATGCTGCATCACGCCCACAAACAAACAGTCTTATTAAGCTCACTCACGGTGACGTAGCGGAAATATGAATAAACTAACTGAAATTTACCGGATAGTAATATACCATATATAACATTAATAGTAAATGCGTATATATATATGACTAAAAAGTACTATTTAACGCGTGCCGGGGATGCGCTCGACTACGTGAGCGTTTTGTTGAAGTGTATTATGGGTAAAAAAAATCCCGTAGAGAAGCAGGAAAGAAGTCGGCACGTGCGAGCCGACAGTTTGACAGGATAGAAACACCTGTTGCCGTAGAGAGAGAAGAAGAGAGAGTACATTTACCTTCCCCGAGTCCATGGCTGCGAAACGCTCTTCAGCTGCTTTGTCTTCTTGTTAGACACGGAGAGGGACAGAAGGACAGACAGACAGACAGACAGACAGAGAGGGAAATTGCCTCGCGCTTCTCCGGACGCCTCCCGCTGGGTTCCACTCACAACTTGAACATCTCCGAGGGTTTCTTCTGCTCCGTTGGAATTTCTTCAAACTTTGTTCGGGTGCCGTTTTTCTTAGTGGGAGGGGGGTTGGGGTGAGTCTTCTTTCTTTTGTTCTCTCCCCCCTCTCTCCCTCGTTCTCTCTCTCTCTCGTGTTCGCGGACGTGTAAAGTCTCTTCAACGGGCGTCGGTGGACCTCCTCGCGCAGCTCGATGGAGACAGGAGGACCAAGTTGTGCTTCTCGTGTATTATATCTGAAGCGGGTTTTTTTCCGACACGGTGAGTCCGCCAATGAGGGAGCGAAAGGTTTTTTTTTTTACATCACAACTCACGCTCGTTCGCTCGTGGAGGGGGAGGAGGAGGTAGAGGAGGAGGAGGAGGAGGAAGAGCGGGGAGGAGGAGGAGGGGGGAGGAGGTAGTTTTCCGATTCTTTACCTAAATGAGGGCGTCAATGTGAACTGAAGGAATAACTTAAGTAACGTTACTATCAGCTCGATGTACTTAAAATGTATCAACGGTGCGTAGTTATTATGCAGCCGATCGGAGCCGGTTCGTGTAATATTAGACTATATTATATGTATATTATATATATTTCGGGTCATGTGCATATACGATCACCAACTCCAACACTTTTTATTATTTTTTTGTTATTTTTTATTTTTTAGAACATTGAGAGCAATGAAAAAAAACGTAAAATCAATATTATGTGTACACATTGGCCAAGTTATTGTTGTACTTGTACTTGCGTGTTAATGGTAAAGAATTACTTGCTGAAGCTTGTGGAAAATATACTAATTGATCTTTGCTAAAATGTTGTTTTGGAGAAAATAATTGTATTTTATTACTATGAATAAATGATCAAACTTTGTTTAGTTTTCTTTTTAGCGACTAATAGACACATGAGAACAACAGAGTGGAATATAACTTTTTTTGTTGAGTTATTTAAAAGTTTTAAAATATGTACAGTATATGAATGTAGTCTTTTCCTCAATCATTAATTATTTGTTTGTTTTTAACCGGGGAATCAAGTCTAAACAACCTGGCAACCCAACGCTCGTGTCTATAAAGCCTCTGTAAATTATTTGTTTACTGTTCAACATTGTGAACCACAATTTATTAGCTGCTTGTTAAGGGTGCTTCGTTTTTAAATGGTTCCAATTTTGAAACTAATATTACGATTTAATGCCATTAATTGTCACATTTCTGGAAAATATATGGACCAAATAATGGGAAGGAAGGAATTGTTTGTTTTTGAGTGAACCAGAGATTCAAATATCTGACACACTCTCATCATCTTTTTAGTGTATGAACAAAAAAAGTCAATTAACTGTCTCTTATGTTATCTTAAAGTACGATTGCAAAATCTGTTCTATCCATTGTTGCTTAACTTTTACTCAATACCGTTCACTCACAGTCCCAGATAACCCAATAGTTTATGCCGAATTGCGGAAGTTGTATTTAGTGCTGATTGATGTACTGTAGTTGGTTTTGAATGCACCACCCGTCTGCTGGCCGTCCGTTCTCAGCCTTCTAACAATGAGTTCTTGAAAACATCCACGTGTGTGATCTAATGATCTTTCACCATGTTGGTGGAGATGCTGTATGACATAGCTGCCCTCCATTCAATTCCTCTTCTGTGATCCGGGCTGTTTGTTACCAAAGGCTTGAAAAAACAAATAAAACATTTTAAAAAACGAAAACCTGGCGCAACCTTTTGTTTGGGATTGAAGGGAAGGTGTCCGGTCCGAGTTGATGTAAAAGAAAATATTAAGTAAATAATTCTGGGAAATGCATGTGTTTTCACAGTGCACGAAAGCTCTGCGGAGGGGGAGGGTAACGGGTAGGATTTATCCAAATGTGTTCCCTTTGTATTTTATCTTTTCCCTTTGAAACTTTGGGAAAACAATAACCGGGGAAACGCTGGCGAAAAGGTTGAGTGAGAACCACACACGACCTGCGACGGCTCCTCAACAAAAGGCCTTAAATGTAGAATTAAGTGACAAGCTTTGTTGTTGGGACACACGCTTATACCATTTCCTCCATATTAGCCCTTTGCAGTAATGGTAAAAAAAAACTTTCTGACATTATTTTTGAGGTAACAAAAGGCTAATAACATGGCTTGTATTCAACGATGGAGTGCTGAAACTAAATGCACTTCTCTCTCTTTCCTCTTCCTGTCTAGCGGCGCTTCGTCCAATCCACTAGCAGAGATAAAGTGACATCATCGCCTTGCAGACTATGCACATGCACATTTGTTAGAGGTGGCGGTTGAAGCATATTGACCTAAGAATAATCACGATGGTGGAGGAGGAAGAATTTATATACGGCAGCGGCGGCCGTGAGGAGAAGCTATGACACATAAAGCAGCCGTTTGGTCATGTTCGGGTTTAAAACGTGAATCCTTTGAAAGCTCAACAAAAACAATAACAGGAACAAAAGCCTTGAGCGTAGTGTTCCGAGGGACGGTATTGTGCACTAAATCAAACGAGCAGGATGCCTGCGTCAAACGGTCCCAAGTTTCGTCCAATTTGGACAAAGCCTACGCCATTAAAAAGACGTACTGTCGGACACTTTTCTGCACTTCTGTTCTTAGAGGATCCTTTTAGATTGCAGGCCTGCAGCCAAAGAGAATATTTTAGACACAAGAAGTCAACAAGATAAAACAATAACATTTTGGGGAAATATATGTGCATTCCCTTGATACCGCTCACATGCGGTAAATGGGAAGTTACAGCCAGCCGGCGTTTAGTTGCCCCAAGGTAATACAATCCTCTACCGGTACCTCTGAAGCTCACTTATTAACTATTTATATTGCTTTTAAAGGAAGGAGTTTTACTTTTGGACAGAACAGGATGGCTGTTTCCCCTTGATTCAAGTCTTTATGATAAACTAGCATAAGCTAGACACGCACAAGATCCTAGTTAACACATCAAACCGTATATTTTACTAAATGTTTGATTATTTCAGCAAGCACAACTTCATATTTTTGGAGCTGTTTGTGCGTTTTTTTTTCTCTTAAATGCCTAAAAAGTATTGGCGTTAACTGAATATTTTGGGCAACAGAAAGTCTAATATTTACCCTTGTCAAGGTTTTTGGAAACTAATAATTATGTTCACAAGCTTGTTGCTGAAATTGTGCATCGTTTGGTCCTGAGGCAGAAATATTTCTGCGGGTTTTTAGGGCTTCTTGACTTGAAAACGACAGCTTGCTGTGGCTGAAAGACAGAAGTGAGACTAAATCAAAACAGTAAAGTTGTGTGATATAAAAACAAGCAACAGATGGAAGATGCCATAAAGTACAATAAAGCCGACTTTAAAGTCTATCGCTACACCGTAACGGGACATTTAATCCACGGTCGGTCTCGGATGTTTAGGGTTCGTCTTGCTGAACGCATGTCGGGATCTCCCCTGTTGACCTTCTATGCAGCTGGTAGTGACTCCATTCAAAAGGTGGGCTGGTTTTCACCCGACTCATCAGGCATCTCAAGTTCCCCTCTTCTGAATGGGAGCCCGGCAATCGCTCTGTGCCAGCGTGCACGTACGCCGCCCTGCTTTGTTTATCTCACGTCCATCCACCAGCTAGCTTTTGTGTCGCTGTGCACTCTGGACAGGTTTGCTCTGCCGTGGGAGCTCCACCGGTTTTTAAAAGGATCCACTGCTTTAAAAACAGTCAGTTACATCCAATGTTTTCCTTATATAACTAATAAACCGTTGTTGTTTGCATATTTCAACGAATCTAAATAGCATCTTCATGGAAAGTAAGAGAACCTGACCGACAAGGTCACACACCTTTAAGTGCTCACGAAACACAAACGCCCAATCCTCCTGTAGTGACATGTGCTGTCCATCGTCCAATGGTATGTGCAGGTAGGGCATTGGAGTGAATGGTTGAGGTATTCAAACTACAAAAGGTTTTATGGAATATAAAAAAACTCAGGGATGAGGGAAGCCATCCAAGTCTATTAAAAGATAATAACAATGCATGACTACAGAACAGACATTCATGTAAAAGAATGAATTACTGATCCAAATCTTGCAAAGAGTTACAGTTCATGTGAAGCAACAGCCGGCAGACGGCTAGTTTGGCTTTAGCATTAAGAAAAAACGCCACCGCCAGCACTTATAAATCTAGGTTTAATCTTAAATAAAAACTATAGTGAAAGCTTTGTGACATGATACGTTTTTTTTAACTCTGGACGTACTTGATCAAACCTGGTATTGATAATGTACAAAGATAAGGACTTACAGAATGTGACTCCAAAGAATCCACCCGTTTGGTGCACTTTGCAGGAGCTGAGAGCGCAGGTGTTATATAGACAAGGAGCCTGGGTTTGGGTTTATTAAAAATCTAAAAAAATATTTGTTTCCTGTTCTACAGCCTGGGTTGTGGTCCCGCAAAACACAAACGCATCAAAGGCCTTCTTTCATCACGGGGTCATAACAGTGCATCACTGGTCTGTGTGATGTTACAATTTGCCCAGAGTGACCTGAGATTCTAAACTATAAAAGTGTTATATAAAGACTTTCTTTTTAGACAGAATGTGTCACACCGAAATACACAGTTGCACTAGAACAACGAGCTGTACAAAAAATTGCCATTTCGCCTTAGGAGACACTCGTCTAGACGAATATTTGTCTCGTCAAATATTAAGTTGTCAGGGTGCAAGATTGTCATCATATTTGGAATCATGCCTAGCTGATGAACATGAACCGAAACCTCACACTTCTTATCACTCAGCTTGAACCGTGTCTCTCCGCAAAGAAAACGTCTAGTGGGATTTGAGTTTCTTGTTGCATCTGAAAATGGCACCGAGGAGAGCAATGAGTTAACCAGAACCATGCTTAGGTCTTAAGCGCTCTGTAAAGCCAAAACAATGAGCTGGAGGACTATTGCTGAGAGAAACTGCAGAGTCACTTCATTATTAAGCATGAACATGCAAATAGTCATTTGATCCATTGTGACAACATAAATATGGCTTTAAAACAACATCATATCCCTTGGGTTTCCCTGTGATTTAATTCCGTTGCTACAGATGCATGAACATTAAAGTAACAGACCAGTGACCTTCCTGTGGCCCGACTTTTCTGTCACTGGTGAAGAGTTATGGACTTGGCCTCTTGATAGAACGTTTTCCCATGGCTCTTCACTGACACGTCTGGTAGGCCAAGGCCATTCATGCTTATTAAGTATTTGCGATGTAGTTGGCCGACGGGATCTAATCTCCCCGTTGTTAAAATAGTGAAAGATCTCCCCACTCTGAATGGGGGTTGTGCAGGGTTACACATACTTCCAGGGACATTGCTTACGGAACCATGGAT